GTGAAATTAACCACGCATGGTGGCAAATGCCTGTAATCCCAGCACTCAGGAGGCTAAGGCGGAGTATCGCTGTGAGTTCAAAGCCAGCCTGGGCTACATAACGAGTTCAAGGCCAGTCTGAACTACATAGTGAGACCATGCCTCACAAAAACAAAACGAAACAATTGTGAAATTATAGACCAGCACGGTGGCACATGCCTGTACTCCCAGCTAGTTGGGAGGTTAGAAAGAAATGTATATCTCTATCTATTTATATATCATCTACTTCTACATTTATATGTTACAAGTTCAGTCTGCCTTCTCTGAGACGTTTGGAAAAAGAAGTATTTTGAATTTCAGATTTTTTCAAATTTTGGAATACAGTGCATATAAATAATGAGATACCCTAGGGACGGCACCCCAGTCCGAAAACAAAATCCATTTATGTTTCCTATACACTCTCTGCACATAGTGTAAGGTCAATATTGTAGAACATTTTTAATGGTTTCATGCACAGAACAAAATTCCATGGGTGGCGTTTTCTACTCATGGTATCACATCAACACTCAAAAGACTTCAGATTTGGGAGGATTCGGATTTCAGATTTTCAGATTATGGATACTCAGTCTGTCTAGTTCCTATTTCAGAACCACAATGTGAACTTCCTAACGGATTGTACTTTACCCCCAAACACAGTGCTGGTATGGGACTGGGTACAAGGAAAGAGCTGAAGCAATCTATGCACTACAGAACGTGAGCTTGAAAATTAGGCTAAAAGTCAACATAAGATATGAGTATGTAATAATCCTAAAACACAAACAGGTACAAATCAAAACCAGGCACTTTTCATACCTCCACAGAAAGTCTGCAACACCTGAGGATTTTATCCATCAAAGAATCTGAGCATCTCAATTAATTCACATTGCTAAAATGCGAAGTGTAACCTAAAAATATAATTAGCCAGGTTAAGTAGCATATGCCTGTAATCCCAGCACTTGGGAGGCTGAGGCAGGTGGATCACCTTGAGTTCAAGGCCCACCTGGGCTACACAGTGAGTTCAAGGCCAGCCTGAACACCACAGAAGGCAAATTAAAATAAATGTATTTGAATTTTTAAAAACTGCTTGATTAAAAGAAATAGGCTCTCACTCAAATTAGTAATTAGTAAATTAATAAGTTTCTCTGTTTGGGGCCAAATTCTCTCATCAGAATACAGATTCACAATGATAACTGCACACCAGGCATCCCCTTCTGCCTGGTACTCAACAGCTCATTTCAACGCCTCCATTGAATTCAGAATGGAATTGCCTCCCCTTTACACCCCAGTAACTAACACTTGCTATCTTCCTCGCAGGAGATGCCAATCTCCGGCTCCACCCCACCGGGCAATTGCCCTGTCTTTACTCTTCTGGGGACTGACTGTGCAGGTGATAGGGCCACTCCTCTCGCTGGTGTCTCATTTCTGGTCCTCCTCAGACCTGGAGAGTCTCCCAACACATCTCTCTGCTGCCACTCCTGCCTGGTGCAAGTCCAATCCTCATCACGCCATCAGCCAGGGTCTATCAGGCAGGAATCTCCATGCATCAGTCTCTTGCTCAGTATTCCTTAAGACTGCTCCCCAGAGCCAGCAGGTTACACTATAAAACATTGAGGAGGGCATGGCAGGCCCTCTGTAATCTGCACTGCTGCAGAAATCAAAGGGCTTCTCGCTCCTGCAAGCTTCCACAGGATCGGCTTTTTCTTGCCAAAAGGTCAGTGCCTAGGAGTAAAACCTAATAGCCTTGCAGCAGTAATGAAACCTAAATACATAAGCCCAAATGATCTGCATTCTTAACAGAAATGGCATTAACATAGCATACTCCCAGTAACTAATCTTCATCTTTCCCTGCAGTTCCAAACTACCCTTTATCAAAATTGGCCCAAAATTCACTTTACATTGAGTCCAGAATACATTTCATATTTGTAAACTACTCCCATGGTTTTACATCTGGCTATCACAAGACATGAAGCAAATATAGACAGTGAGTATGTCATCTAAGCATGTCTGTGTACACCCCCTGTGCAGGGAGAACAAATACACCAAGGTCCTTGTTCCATCTTGCACCGTGCATATGTAGAACGCTCACTGCCACCACCACCCCACCAGAAAACTTGTTTTATTATTTAAAGTGGTTTGGTACATTCATTTTCTTCAACACTCATCTTCCCATTTTCAAATAAGTTTCCCTTTTAAATCATTCACACAAAGAATTAATATACAAGCCCACAAGAAAATTAAAATTCCCTTGCCTCAGAAATATTCTGCCTCTTGGAAGGCTGAGGCAGGAGGATCACTGAGAGTTCAAGGCCTGTCTGGGGTAGTGAGTTCAAGGACAGCCTGAACTACATAGTGAAACCATGTCCAAAAAAAGAAAAAAAACCAAAAGACAAAACCAAAAGTACTAAGTCTTTAATAATCATCCACCTATACAGTACTGAAAATAAAGCTGTAGAGTATCTTTTAACAAAACAGAATGCTTTAAAACTAAGATCAACGGAGAAAAACCAAAAAAAAAAAAAAAAAAAA